AAAAAAAAAAAAAAAAGTCTTTGGCAGAAACAGGGAATGGGCAGTTTTGCTTATGTTAATGTTTTTAATAGTATGAAAGTGTGATATAATAAAAATATACTTGGTCCTTGTCCCAGTTCTGTCCTGGCACAGAGCTCCTAAAACCCTTGCAAATTACCTGGAAGATAGGTGTGTCTTCTGGTATTTATAACAAGCCCCTTTCTACCACAGGAGTCTATGGTGTAATGAGGTGACTCATGTAGGGTCCCCTAGATAGCTTTAGGATGGACAATGGTTATCAGAAAGAGCAAATACATGAGTAGAGGGTTGAAATTTTTACCCTACTCCTTTGGGAAATTGAGTTCTATTTTTAAAAAAACCTCTTGATTTAAGATTTGGGGAGCTTCTGGGTTGATGAACACACTGATATACTGAGGGTAGCACGCTCAGAGAAAGCACGAAAACTCTGGGCCACGCCCCCTCCCCAGCTCCAATACCACCCCCTATGTATCTGTTCCATTTGGCTGTTCCTGAGTTGTACCCTTTATAATAAACCAGTAAATGTAAGTAAAGCACCTGAGGAGGGGGATTGTGGGAACCTGCGATTTGTAGTCAGCTGGGCAGAAGTGTGGGTGACCTGGGGCTGGCATCTGAAGTGGGGGCAGTCGTGTGGAATGGAGCCCTTAATCTGTAAAGACTATGCTAACTTTGGGAGTTAGTGTCCGAACTGAATCGGACACCCAGTTAGTGTTGAAGAATTGGTTGTGGTATGGTAAAACCATACACACTTGGTACTAGAAAACACCACACAGAAAGGTACCGATGTTTTAAGCAAAAGTTGAACCAAGGAAGCAAAGCAACTTAACTGCATTCAATTTATCTTCATAATGTTTTATGATATGAATGGTATGATTAGATATCTTAGTACATACTGGTATTCAAATATGAGTAGTAACATTTTAAAGCCAATAGAAAAGTTAGGGTAAGTGGCAACTGTGCCTATTATTTATTTACAGTTACACTAGGCTCACTTGTTAATCAATACAGCATTTTATCCTCAACTGGAACTTATTTGCTTTCGTTTAGACTTGCTGAACAACTTGAGAGTTGTTCTTAATGTCTGAAGTCAATTTTCATAATTTTTCCCATAAATTTTCACATATCCTTAAAATAAATTTTCATAAAACTGATCGCGTGCTTCCAAAATCCTTAAGAGCCCTTAAAATTTAAGGCAGATGTGCCTGTAGTCTCAGCTACTTGGGAGGCTGATGCAGGGGGATTGCTTGAGCCCGGGAGTTCAAGTCAAGTCTGCACAACATAGTGAGATCCTGTCTACAAATTAAAAAAGCTCTAAAAATTTGAAATCTAGATAATGCAGAAAATAACAGAACAACTAGACAATTTAAAAGAAGGTAACTGTATCCTTGCCTAAGAAGAAAAGAGATTATTTTAAAACTTTTTACTTAATTTAACAAGTTTCTGAAAATATAAACAATGCCAATATGAATGAGGGAATTTAGAAAAATAGAAAGGTTTGAGGTATCAATAGCAAAATCTTTTTTGTGATCAAACAAGTTTGACAGAACCATATTATGGTTATAAATAAAAATTTCAAGTTCTGCATTTTGTGGAATGATCAGTGCAAAGTGAAGTATTTTACATTACTGTAAATAAAGTAATCTATAGTTAGCTTACTGATGACTACAAAAAAAGAGCTCTTATTACCTAAGCCAATCCTACTTCCAATAAATATAATTAGATTCAAATAAGCCAACATTTTACACAAAACAATTAAACTTCTCTACATACTTACCTGTATCAGGGACATCAGTGGGTCTCATAATTCTCCGAATCTGCTCCATAGATTGCAGGTCTGGTGACAGTCCTGTAAATAAAAAGATGAGACATAGTCTTGACATCTAAAAAATTGTAATAGTTATTCAATTAAAAAGCTATTAATCAAAATAGATTCACCATGTGAAATTAAAGATACTTAGATTGTTCCTTTTAATGTTATCTTAAAGGTCAACATATTGAGTTATGAATCCCCAATATATACAATATAGTATATAATTATGATTATGTCATCTTCTCCATTTTTCCCCACAAGGGAAATCAAATTCCACCACTCTTTCCAATCATTCCC